GGGGAGGAAAAGGGGGGGGGAGGGGGGATTTTTGCTTGGCGTAAAGGAATTTTTCCTTTGGGGGATGACATTTAGGCTTGTGGAGAGGGAGAGAAGACAATTTTGCTTGGGCGGTAGAATATTTGCATAGCTGCATGGGTGCTCAGAGAAGAGTCTTAAACACAACACTCTATACCCAGGGCCAGACGTCAAATACCCCTGCACTCTGTATGTTACATACCCCCTAACCCCAGCAAGCTATACATTACATAGCCCTGGCCACTGCACTCTGTGCGTTACATTGATTTGGAGCCCTCTGCTCTGTGCGTTACATATCTCTAAGCTCTGAACTGTGTGCATCACAAACCCCTGATTCCAGCACTCTACAGATAGCATACCTCTGACCCCAGCTCTCTGCAGATCACATATCCCTGGCCCCAGCTCTCGGTTACATACCCCTGACCCCGGAACTTTAAACATTACATATTCCTGCTCCTAGCTCTCCGTTAGTGACATACCTCTAACCCTAGTACTTTATACGTCACTTACCCCTGCACACTGTACCTTACATACTCCTGACACTTTGTGTAATTCTAACCCCTGCAGTCTGTAGCTTACCTATTCCTGACCACTTGCACTGCATACGTTAAATACTTCTTACCCCTGCATTCCATGTTACATACTCCTGACCCCTGAACTTCATTAATTACCTACTCCTGGCCACTGCACTGTTATATATTTCTGACCCCTGCACTGTGTATATTACCTACTTCTGACCCCTGTTCTGTCTGTTACATTCTCCTAACCCCTGCTCTATGCGCATTATATTCTCTTGGCCCCTGTACTCTATATGTTATATTGTACATTACATACTGCTGTTAAAATTGTTTATCATCTCAAACAGCTACTGCTTCCTAAGAAGCCCTGACTTTTTTTTTTAGCAAGTGTTCTTGTATAACGTAGTTTTAGAAAAAATGTTAGCCTTTATTTCTGTATTCTGTGTGCAGAAATGCATGTGTTAAAAGAATAGTTTTTTTTTTGTTTTTATGATGATGCTGAGGTACTGTGTGTCTGTAAGACTATTGTAGGCGAGTAGGTTCAGATTTAAGTATGCCCATTAAAGCCCCTGCCGCTGACAGAGCAAAGTGGCCAAGCACACCATCACTCTCCTAGGCCTTTCACATCCTAGCAATGATCCTGCTCTTGTCATGCAACTTCCCTCTCATGCTCCACTGTTTATTGGGGCTGCAGCGAGGTTAGGGAAAGTTGGGTAAAAATTATGAAATACGTATGCAATCAACTTCATGAGAAAGAAATTACTGGCGGTGAGAAAGAAATTACTGGCGGTGAACTGTATACAAACAGGGTTGGTATAATTACAAGTGAGCAGCTTTAAATAAATCTGTCAGCTGAATGAAACACAAAAGGTATTATTTAAAGAAAATGGCTTGTGAAGTAATTATATTTGCTGTGTCATTTTAACAAAAGTGGGTCTTTCCTTTTAGATAGAGTGGCAAATAAAGATTCTCTATTGTTACATAAACTTCTTCTCACCTCTTTTCCTCCATCCCGTCCAAATCCACTTTCTTTATATCCACCAAACCCAGCAGCTGCATCAAACATGTTGTGTCCATTTATCCACACTGTGCCAGCTTTTATGCTAAAGACAGAAGAGGAAGCAGTCAGTAATACACACACCAGTGGACCAGTCTTTTTGGATTACAGTTGCCAAATGTGTTTGCACTACCTCAATATGTTTTGAATTTACAATGTTTAAAAGGGTTTTCCAGGAAAGAGAAAGTACACCTAAGCAAAGTCAAGCAGCCCCTAGTTACACTCAGTGCACAATGGAGGGCTAGAGGGGGTGTTCAACATCTCAAACCGCATGATAAAAGATGATATTGTAATGACGGAGTGTCTAGGCTTTAGAGTGCTCTGGAATCTAAAGATCTTCCATTGCAGTAAGTTTTGTATTCTGATAACTGTAAATTAATAATACATGTAATTATAGTATTTTGTATATTAGTCCATTTATAAATGACTATACCCAGATGTCACTTGTAGTCAGAAAGGGTTAAACCTATTGCACACAGCTCAAAGCCCCCAGCCAGCTTTATTCAGAGCCAGATTCAGAGCTTACACAGCTAATGTCACTACCGTGGATGTAGATGAATCAAGGGATCTAAACTTTCCTCATATCCGAGGAGAGTTTTAGCTCTTTGCTGGAGAGGCTATGGAATTTCTTCTTATTCTTTTTTTTCTAAAATAATACTTTTAATTATAAATATAATTGGAAATTTCAATAACCAAACATTACATGTTAGTAATTAGAACATTTGTAACATAATTCAGCATGACAGAAACTTATGAAAGAATGTCAAAAGAGAAAATCTTATACAGAATATATTTAAAGCTCATATTGTGCCTGTTTCCGGTGTGTTGTCAGTACAGCAGCACAGTGGCTTAGTTGTTAGCACTTCTGCCTTGCACCAATGGGCACCAGTTTGAATCCCTTTCAGGACACTATCTGCAAGGAGTTTGCATGTTCTCTGGTTTTCTCCCACATTCCAAAGACATGCTGAAAGGTTAATTGGCTCCTGCATGCATGTGAGATAGGGGCCATAGATTTAAGCTCCTTGCGGGCATAGACTGATGTGAATGTACAGTATGTAAAGCACTGCATAAAAATTGTCTGCACTATATAAATACCTGTTATAATAATTATGGAGAGCCCAGATCAGCCCTGACCAGCTACTAACAAAATATAATGATTCAGAACTTTCTCTAGCTGCTTGCTTGATATGCAAAGTTTAAAGTAGAGGAAAAGGCAGTAGAACCACCCAACATGTAAATGTAGCCTTCACTCTGCATACAGTGTGAAAAAAAATTGTAATAGAAACACCTTTATAAAAAAAAAAAAAAATTTGTTCAGGTGGTCACGCAGCCAAACAGCTCCAGTGGCTTTGTCCTCCTACACAACACCAACAATGGCACTGACTTCCTAAAGCAGTTTTGTCACCCACCAGCATCCACTGCTCTAGGCATGGTCAGAGTGTAAGAAAATTCGCTCCCACCAGCCACACAGAAGATCACAGCCGAGCTATGTGGTCATGTGACTGCCAAGGCAAACTTTAAAAAAGGTGTTTCTATTACAATTTATTCCAGACCGTATGTGGGAGATACATTTACAAGCAGGGTGGTTGTATTGCCCTTCTTTCTATTTAATTCCTAATTCTGTGTGCTATAAAAAGAAATGGTAAGTTTCCTTTGCACTACTATAGGATTCATCAACCAGGAATTAATGTAGCCAGATGTAAATGTAGCAAATGTCCAACCCTTTCCACAATTTTGCCCTGCAATGCCAACAGATCTCCTTTACATAAAATTGTTTAATAGTCAACAAACCCTGGTAGAGACATCCTTTTTTATCAGTGTTCATGTCCCCTGACAGTGACCACTTTGCATGACACTCTCCTTGTGTTGCACCGCATCCGCTGTGTCTGCACTAGCTTCTGTTGCAATTTGTCTACACTACTTTCTTTGGCACCCCCTTTCCTTGGTTCAAACTATGTCCTCTGGGAGTCCTTCCCCAACCCAATCCACACTATGATCTCTGGCACCTCTCGCTCCATTGTAAATGCTATATTCAATTAGTTAAAGGCTTTAGGATATTCATGTGTTTACCTCAATGCAACCTCCAAAGCTAAAGGCATATTTTCTGTCCAGACACTAGCGGCCAATCCATAGGGTGTGTTATTCCCAAGCGCAATGGCTTCTTTAGCAGTTCGGAATGTCATTGCAACCAGGACAGGTCCAAAAATCTATTCAGTTAATTTCATCAAAACAAAAACAGATAAATGTCATAAGAGCGTAAAAAAGCAACAGACTCACTCATTGGCCACACACAATAAGGGGAACTTGTGCCCTGGTTATAAACCTACGTGATTTACTAGAGAGTCTTCTACTGGTAAAAAACAAACAGTTAGCCATGCAGCGTTAAAAATGTAAAGGTGTCATTTCGACAGAAATAAAATGAAGCCCTAAAGATGTATACAGGGAGCATAGCCTACCTGCTGAATTACTCAGTTTATCATCTAGGATTGCTGTACTGAACTAGTCAAATATGCTAATCCTGAATACCCGATTGCTACTTTCCTATGTAGTGCTATCGTATTACTGACTAAGGTAACATTGGTGGTCAATGGGTAACTGTACATTGCTAGCAGAACATTGGAAGAGCATGTACACTATAATTTGCCTGGTACAATGTTGTCACCAGAATAGAAAGTGAGGGGAAATCTCTCCAATTAAGCCCCAGAAAGCAGTAAAATCTGACAGGGCTTCTAACCTTTCCTAATGCTATCCAAAACTTACAAAAATAAATTGGGGGTTAATATAGACTTTTAACCTACTGAAATGATTAGCGAAAAGGATTGTGACCATCAACTAGTCATAGTTTCACCTAGTATTTCTCGTGCCTCACTTTTTCTGTGTTAGCCATTCAGCTATTTTATACCCCGGGGCTATGTTCACAAAACAAATGGCAGCCAGGCAACTAGCAATGATGCAGGGAGATGGAAAATCCTGCACCTCAGGTCTCTTTCATATCATTATGTGCATGTACAGTTGTGCACAATACAGGGTTTCTAAGGCTTTTCTCAACCTTGCTGAACTAATGTTTCATATTGGGTCATATTGGGTATGCCTAAAGGACAATTGGTGGTCTACGGACCACAGTTTGAGATACAGTGGTCTAAGAATCTTAAAGTGACATTAAACCCTCAGATGTTTTAACCTAAACCAATACTGTAATGTGTGCATTACTGTAATCCATGGTTGTTTCCCTTCTCTTTGCTGCTCTTCCTTTTAAATCCTCATGTCTTCTCATGCTGGGGGAGAACTTCCCTTTGCAGCTGAGTGCCTCTTCCTGTAGTGCTGGCTCAGGTTGTGAACGAGCACACAGACACCGTGTATCCATTCCTGAGACAAGGCAGTCTGCTGCAAAACAGAAGTTCTGCCCAGCATGAGAACAGATACAGATTTAAAAGGAAGAGCAGCAAAGAGAAGGGAAACAACCATGGATTACAGTAAGGCACACATTACAGTATTGTTAAAAAATCTGAGGGTTTAATGTCACTTTAAAGTTATCTAGAAACATCTGCAAGATTTCTCGCATGAAGTAAATGTAGTAAGCCAATATTAAGTAAGCCAATATTACAGTCACATAAAACAATTTCCTCCCTACATAATGAAGAGACTATCCAGTCAAGGAAAAATAGTAGATGGATACCTCCTCTCTGACACAGCGCGATGTGGTGTCCACACCAGTGATTAAGGTTGGTGGGTAGAATAATCCTTTTTTAGGAAGAGGTCCAGGAGCCTGGAAAACCTGTTGGACATAGAGAAAAAACACATATGAAGTGGAAAAATAACATTGCACAGTGCTGTCAATCTAACTGTTCATACTGATGGCCATTCTTGCCAAACGCTGCATTTTCCATGCAAACACATGCAGCTGCTTCCCAAAGGAAACACACCATTTGGCAAGAACAGGTTGTCTTTTACATTATGTGCCTGCAATTGAAGCACACCTCATTGCACATGCCAAGTCTAAAGAAATATAGCACAATGCAAAAGCAGATGCTGAACTGCCATGTGTACTGCCCCTTTAAAACACAAAGGGATTTCCTTGAACTTTGTTTGATGTGCAGTCTAAATGTGGGTCAAAAAAGTAATGACAACATCAGTGCGCTTGTAAGCGGGTTTAGGGTGTAGCGGCTTCACAGAGGGAATCACACGTAATGGTCTTTTGAACAAGATAATGTTTATTACCGGAGAGCCGGTAGTAGGAAGAATATTTACAATAGTAAGGTCAGCAGTTTCACTCCAGGCATGGAGACACAGGTACACAGTACAGTCACTTCTGATATGAACGGTAGTAGTATTCGTTAGCACTATCAGCACTTCCCACTAACGTGAGAACACGTTACCCGGGAGCAGCGGTATTCTTTCCAAACAGAGAGATACGAGTCTGGCACACTCTTCCCGCACTCACAGCGCGGACACAGGTTTGGCTATAAGCACTGGGAAATTCCGTAAAAAAAGGGGGGTATATGCTATAAAATAATATATTGCCTTGTTCTGAAGGTATAGATATATCCACCAAATTGGGGGACTAATTACCTCCTCCGTAGGAACCCTGAGCTATCCCTCACAGGCCGGAACCATTCCCTGAACTCTCCTAACTCTCCCTCACAAGCGGGGTACCTGTCCCTGTCTACTTTCACACGTGTTCTGCCCAAAAACGTGGTTGGGCTTCCTATATAAGATAACCACCCCAAAATGGCTGACCAAATCTCTCGAGAATTCCTGTCCTATCAGGACACCCGGCTTTTCCAAAATGGTGCTGGAGACAATAATAGAGACTAAACAGTTCTGAACATATTTACACATAAACATATCAAAAACGGCTGAAAGTAGTTATATACACTTGATAACCCACTTTATCCTGCAGCTAGCTAGGCTGCCCTGTCACTGGCAACAACTGCCTACACGCTGCTGTTCTTTAACTGTCATAACACAGACATGGTTTAATCAGATGCTCTTCGCTTGAGGAGAACAGTTATGCGTCCCTTACCTTCCCATGTAAATCCCACTGTCTGGTGCATGAGCATCTTGGCAGGTCTGACCCATGCCATGAGGTGAGTGGGTGCCTATAACTATGCAAAACTGATACTGAAAAAGTGACTGTTTGTTTAGTCACTGCGGAAAGGCTTAAAAAATGTCAAGGAAGTGACAGATCATGAAAGGAAAGGTATCCACAGATAGATTATTATTGTAGCATGTCTGGAGTGTCTATAGAATGTGCATCTTCTCCCTGTGTTTGCATGCTGATAATGGATCAAGATGGTCCTACAGAGCATTTGGGTATGTCACAGAGCTAACTATGTGCTGCATAGCATACTCTGCTATATAAACAGGGTGATCAATAAAAGGGAAAGACAACTTTCACGAGAAAATATTTTCAAAAACTTCTGAAAACTAGAGAAAGAAAATAAAAAAATAAATATATTTCCAAAATATTTGCATATATTAGTGACTTGATGTGACAAGTTTCAATAATTTATGATTTATAATAATTAGTTACAAACAAATCAAAACACATACACCTGAATAGATCATTCAAATCAGGGCTCACATGATCCATAAAAAAGGCAAATTTTGATTTATCCAGTAGATACACTCATGGCTCATGTAATCCGGTCTGTAACTGTTTAAAAAGAAAAACAATATGACAAAACACTGTCCTTTCCAATTAATCTGACCTCTGCCCCCTCTGATCGAGCTTCCGCCACAAATTCAGAGATTGTCTTCATCTGACTCTCATCCACTAAGGCTCCCATGTCAATGGTCTTATCCAGACTGTCACCAACTCTCAGGTGGGTCACCCTCTGCTTGAGTCTTCGGATCAGATCTTCAGCGATTGGTTCCTGTATGAGAAGTCGGGATCCTGCACTGCAAACCTGCAAATGGAGAAGAGACAAAAATTTGCAGGGATACTCAGGGGTGTGGAAATTTTTGAAAAAACTACTTGTCCAAGGGCTAAAGCGGGGGCCAAATCTACTTGTCCTTCATAACAATCTACTTGTCCTGATACAAAAAAAAAAATAGTTTTAATTAAAACTAGGGATGCACCAATACCGGTTTTTGGGTATAGAGTACGAGCACCGATATTTTGCTTTCGGTACTCAACGAGTATCGGTGCTTCCGTTTGCACGGAGCAGGCTTCCCGGGCAATCAGGAAGCCGTGCAGCGGGTAATGAGATGCTACCCGGCTTCCTGACTGCCAGGGAAGCCGACTCCATGTTGTTGGCCGGCTTGATTGTGAATGGCTTGGAAGCTGGCACCATCAGCACGGCCAATCAGCATCGAGCCAGCTTCCTGGCCAATCAGGAAACTGAGAGGCGGGTCATTAGTCGCTGCCCCGCTTCCTGATTGCACGGGAAGCTGGCACCATCAGCACGGCCAATCAGCATCGAGCCAGCTTCCTGGCCAATCAGGAAACTGAGAGGCGGGTCATTAGTCGCTGCCCCGCTTCCTGATTGCACGGGAAGCTGGCACCATGTTCCCCTACGGCACTGCCGGTCAGAGGAAGTCTTCCTCTGACCAGAAATCCCGGTATTGGAGAAGATAATCGAGCATTTGAGCGAGTACAAGTACTTGGCCAAATACTCTGTATCTGTGCATCCATAATCAAAACTGTATTGGGTCTGTGCTAAATAGCGCTTCTCATTGGTCAGTGTGGTCCCCAGACCACACTGACCAATGAGTGTTTGCAATTTGCGAGCGAAATTCAAAATGCATAGGGCAGGACTGCGCTGGACAGTATGTGGTAAGGACAGTACACCTGTACCGGCGGAGGGTAAGGACTGTTTGCCGAAAGTTAAGTATAGCCGGGGGATGCAGGGTTTAGGGAGAGACGGGGACCAGATTTTTAATCGGGTAATTCCATTTTCCCATATTACCTGGGAAAGTGAACTTGCCCTTTAATGCACTTTGTGCGTGTGAGAGAGTTCTGCTGCCTCGCTACCACAATATGGCACAGTGAAATGGCGGCAGCACTCAACGCACACACACAATGTCAAAGTTTTTATTGCCGTTTGTGTCCCCATTAAGGAGATTCACTCTCTCTCTAATTGCCCTGATCACCAATGTCGCTGGGAGTAAAAGGAAGGGTAAATCCAAATGTTTGAGTTGTTGCCAGAACAGGAAAAAAAAAAAAAAGAGGGAAATCTTCAGGTGGGAACAATTGACAACTATCTCGTGTTTTGGAAAGCTATCCCTCTCACTTTCTGTTGAGTCTGCAGGATAGGAAGTGAAGGAAAATCTCCTTAAAGGGTAATTTAACCCTCCATTTTTTTGCATATATCTACTGCTAATAAGCAGTAGATATATGCAAAAACATTTTTTTTTAAACGCTTTAAAAGCAGTTTAAACTTACCTGTGTCTTCCCCGCATGCTCCCGTCCGAAAAACTGAGGGTGGGCGCATGCACAGTTCAGATTTTCGGCCGAGAGACGAGGAGAGACACAAGGTAAGTCTATGGAGCAGCGTGCATCCGCATGCAGACACCGTGGGACAGGAAGTGCCAGCAAGGACAGAGGAGTCAGTGCTGGATCGGAGACCCACAGCAGCGCTGGAGGGACAGATGAAAACGACAGGAAAGAAGATCGGATTAAGAAACATCATTTAAGATAAGTGCTTTAATTAACATTGGGGGGGGGGAGGGAAAAATTTATGTCACTTTAAGATAAAGCAAAAAAAAAAAGAAGGACAGCAGGCTCTATCCAGGATAAATAAATTGGATATACTTAAAAAGGTAATCTATAGCCTTTTTAAAATGTTTTTCTTTATAGCATGCAGTATATATGAATACAATCAGCTTTATGTAAAACTATTTAACAATGTCTGTTAATGGTTTATAAACCTTGTTTTGATGCATCATTTTTAACTGCAAGTGTAAAAGAGGGTAGCCATATTGGATTACTGCAAACACTTACTAAGCATTGTATCAGAAATGAGTAATAATAAAACCCAAACTAGCACCAAACTAAAATCTACGTACACCAATGCTAGAAGTCTAGCAAACAAATTAGAGGAGCTTGAAGTTATTCTACTCAAAGAGGACTTTGATATAGTGGGAATAACAGAAACGTGGCTAGACAGCACACATGACTGGGCAACCAATGTACAGGGGCACAACCTGTTCAGAAGGGAGAGGGTTGGTAGAAGGGGTGGAGGGGTGTGCATGTACGTAAAAAACAACCTAACTGCACATACGAGATGACCTCATGACCGAGAGATGCGACGGTGCAGAGTCCTTGTGGCTAGAACTCAGGGCCGGACTGGGACTAAAAATAGGCCCGGGCATTTTAGACTGAGCAGCCCAATCACGTGACCACCGGCAGGCCACACCCCTCACAACAGGGGGCGGAGCCAAACATAGAAGCGCAATCGAGGGGCAGGGCTGGCCACTAGTAAGTACCGGAGGGCTACAGCTGACACACAAGCCTTGCTACAACCAAAACTAGATAAGTCTGATGCTAGTCGTAAAAGAATTGTGGGTGTGCGTTATAAACCCCCGAACATAGGGGAAGAGGAGGAGGCTCACCTACACTCCCAAATAGAAATAGCTGGGAAGCAGGGAAATGTTGTTATAATGGGTGACTTCAAGTATTCGGATATTGATTGGCAAATGGAACCTCTCATTCTATAAAAGCTAGCCGTTTTCTGAACCTGTTGCGGAAAAATTTCATGGATCAGATGGTTGATGTCCCCAGGGCCGGCCTTAGGCCTTTAGGCGCCCTGTGCGAGAAAGCTTTACAGCGATCCCAACCAGGAAAGATGCCATACTAGACTCATTAATTTCCAATAATGCGGACCTGAGCGATTAGGGATACATTGGGTAATAGTGATCACAGGATGATTACCTTTGATGTTGGGTACAGAAAAAAGTGGGTTGGTTTGACAAGAACACTAACAGGGTTATTCACAAAAGGGTGAAGGGTTTGGAGAAGGTAGGATAAGTGAACAATCTAGGACAATATAGCTGATTTGGAAAAATTCAGCCCACTTTCCAGTTCAGCTATGTTGTCCTAGATTGTTCACTTCTCCTGCCTTCTCCAAACTCTTCACCCTTTTGTGAATAACCCAGTAAATTTTAGAAAGCCAACTTGGGAACTACAGACCAGTCAGTCTATCATGAATAGTATGCACACTGTTAGAGGGGATGATAAAGGACTATTTCGTGGATTTTGTTCATGGCAATGGTATAATAGATGATAAATCAGCACGGATTTAGGAAGGACCGTTCTTGTTAAACCAAATTACTAACATTCTATGAAGAGGTGAGTAGAGATCTGGATGGAGGGAGGTCGGTGGATGTGGTATATCTGGATTTTGCCAAAGCTTTTGACACGGTACCACATAAACGCTTAATACACAAGCTGAGATCTATGGACATAGATGGAATGGTGTGTACATGGATAGAGAACTGGCTACAGGAATGTGTCCAGAGAGTATTGATAAATGGCTCTTTCTCAGATTGGTCTAAGGTCGAAAGTGGCGTGCCCCAAAGTTCTGTGCTAGGCCCCATACTGTTTAACCTGCTTATTAATGATATTGGGGGAGGTGTTAATAACCATGCTTCTGTGTTTGCTGATAGCAAAATTGGGAGGGTAATAAACACGGACCTTGACAAAATAACATTGCAGGAGGACCTGGATAAAATAGGGGAGTGGGCAACTATATGGCAGATGAGGTTTAATGTTGGCAACTATTCTCATCATCGATTAGTTGGTTGGGGGAGCGCGAGAGGGAGAATTTTATTCATACAACCAATCAATTAGTTGAAAAAATAATCAGGTAACTAATCGATTATGAAAATAATAGTTAGCTGCAGCCCTACACACTAATGGGTACTCCACTAGGGAAGTCAGAAATGGAAAAAGATCTGGGGGTCATAGACCACAGATTGAACAATAGCTTGCAATGCCAGGCTGCAGAAAACAAAGCAAACAGAGTACTGTCTTGTATTAAAAAGGGAATGTACTGTACAGAGAAAGCACTAATTTTGCCAATTTATAGATCACTGGTTCGGCCTTATCTGGAGTATGTGGTCCAGTTTTGGGCACCAATCCACAGAAAAGATGTCCTTAAGCTGGAGAGAGTGCAGAGAAGGGCAACTAAACTAATAATGGGCTGCAGGACCTAAGGCAGTGGTGGCGAACCTTGGCACTCCAGCTGTTTTGGAACTACGAGTCCTATGAGGCATTGCAAGACTCCGACAGCCACAGACATAACTCCCAGAGGCATATGCATGTTGGGATTTGTAGTTTTGGCACAGCTGGAGAGCCAAGGTTCGCCACCACTGACCTAAGCTGAGACAAGGTTACTAAATTTAAACTTGTTCATGCTAGAAGTGAGGAGATTAAGGGGGGACATGATTTTGATGTACAAAATGTTTAGTGGTGATGGCAACATCAGCAATAGACTGTTTACAGTAAACTCCATAACAAAGACTAGAGGCGACCACCTAAAACTGGTGGAGAAAAGATTTAACCACATGGGGCGTAGGGGCTTTTCTTCCGTTAGAGCGGTTAAAGTCTGGAACTCGCTGCCACAAGAATTGGTATCAGCTGAGAGTATTGAATCATTCACAAAGCATTTAGATAGCTTCCTCAGAGACCGTAACATACAGTGGTACAGGTACCCTTAAAAACAAGGTCACAGGGACTCGAGTATACACATACACAATTACACACAGACACACAAAGGTTGAACTTGATGGACCTGTGTCTTTATTCAACCTCAAATACTATGTAACTATTGTAGCACAATAAGAGCCTGTGTCAACGGTTGTTGGGCTTGTGTCAATGGGCAAATGCAGTTTGTTTTCAGGTAAATTCAGCTTGTATTTGAGATCAGTTTGATATGCTTCAAAGATCATTCACAGTTCATTGACA